ACCAGCTCAAACAGAATGCCTAATTTAGGTACTGTATTAGAGATTCATCTCCGTAGTATTTTCAACTGTCACACCACTGATCATATCTGATGGTTCAAAGCTTAAAATTTACCATGTTATTTTCCCATCACTTCACTAATGCTTTTCTTATATGATATTGCAAAAAAATGTGTGAGAAAACGTTCACTTTGGTTATTAAATTAATCACACTCTAACCTCAAAGGACACTATTTCCTGAGTACATTATGTTAGTCATCCTAAAAAAGATACTTTCATAAAGTAGGTAGCTAAAAACCACTACTGCCTAAAACATTCTGAAAGAACTAAGACTCCATTACAAACAGTTCCATTTCATTCAATGATGTGCAGACTCTGCATACGTGACACTCACTCATGGTATTCCATGATAAAATACCAAGAGCTAAAATTCTATGCTCTCAGTATTTCAACATGCAACCTACTATTACAGTTGGCACAGGGATGTTTAGAAAGAACAGAAGCTGTTTGTTGGGAACAGCCCATTTTCTCTTTCCCCCACATAACACTAAACAAAAGTATTTCAAGCTGCCTTTCAAGCCAGCGGAGCAAGTGCCTTTTTGCTGATTTAGTCAAGGACAAACTGAAACAGACTCAGATAAGAGCATAACAAGGGCTGGCAGGAAAGTAAATAACAGGCTAAAGGGCTGCCTCTGACTGCTATAAAGAGAGAGAGAGCAAGCTAGCTGAGCAGGCCAGAGAGCTTCTGCCTTGGCCAGACTGCTGAGATACCCGCAGCTGCTTGAGCTTGCCAACACCGCTGCCCGCCACCTGAGAGGTGAGAGAAGGAGGGGGGGCCGCCCGCAGCCGTCCCCAGTGGGGGATTGCCGTTCTCACTGGAGCCTGCCTGCTCATGGGGGGCCGCTGCCTGCCAGAACTGGAGCTGGGACCAGAGCTTGCTGTGTCTGCCTGTCTGCCAGCCTGCCTGTCCACTACCGGGGGGTGCCCCGGCCACCGGGATGCCGGCTCCCCTCACAGACCCCTGCCGAGCCGCCGACTTGCCAAGCTGCCAACCGCATTCTTCCTGCGGAAGGATGGTAACATCCACACGCACACATTCACATATTCTTTAACGTTTCTGCTGGGCTCAACTCCTAAACTTTCTCTTCATTGATTCTACACCTTGACTTTCCTTTTTGATATACCTAGACTACCTTCACTGAACCTCGGCCCCTCAATTTGTGTAGACTTTCAATAAAGCAAATAATTTGTACGTTAATCATTAGTCTCGGTAACAATTTGTGAGCATGGTGAGGGAGTATCCCAATCTACCCTCTAAGATATGGTCCCACAGTGGCCGTTCCCCTGTGAGAGGCAAGCGCCGCACGTGCACCCTCGGTCTTATTCAGAAACCGCTCTGTTTGGGGGAGGGGGAAGTGGTGGGAGCATCCTGACGTCTGGTAGCCCACCAATATCAGCCCACAACACTGTTACACAGTATCATTAAAACGCACACTGAAAGAAGAAACACTTCATGCTAAAGAAATGGGATCACAGCAGTCAAGCAACTACTAGAAGGTGATACTAGCTTACTCATTTAGGAGGAGCCAGAAAAGGAGGGAAGGGTTACCACACGTAATACTGAATTTACAAATACTATTGAGAGGTCATTATGAATCAGCAAAATTAGAAAAGAAATCTAACACTTGAAGTTTGCATAAATGAAACTCACCAACACGTTGTGTTGACATGACTCGTGGAACTTGTGAAGAAGCTGGTCTCATGGTACTAAATGGGGGTCTGGGTGCTGCTGGGCGGATAGCACCAGGCATGTTCTGGAATGCTACGTTTTAGAGAAAATACATTAAATTACATGCTGAAACACTTAATGATGAAGAGTTCAGAATTAATACCACTGACATGACAGAAGAGAAGACTGATACCGTAATGCTGTGAAAATGTACTTAGAAGTGCTAGGGAGTTTATCACGATCACTGGAAAAAGGTAAAGAAGGGACTTACGATGAGGTCTGGCACCCTGAGCAGTCCAGCGAGGACTAGGTCGAGCAAGTTGAGCAAGCTGATTAGTAGGATAGTATGCGGCACGGTTCTGAGTCTGTCCAATACAAAAACAGGGTAAGCTTGTTATCTTTGAAGGGCACGCTGAACAGTCCGTCTTTCTGCTATGAAATTAGAATGCTAATAGTCACGCTTGCTGTTAAATCTCATCTACTGCTGTATCAGATTTTATAGATGGTACAAAACATCCAGTTACTCATCTTGATACGTACCTGTGGGATAGCTGCCATGAAGTAACCTGAAGGAGGTGCTGGTTGGTAAGGGTTGATGACAGGATTGGGTACTGCTCTTACACTTGCCATTCTCTGCATATACTGGTTGGTGAGATGGGCTTGGCGCTCTTCTTTACGCTGGGCGAGAGCTACGTATAATGGTTTGGTAGCCACAATTCTACCATTCATTTCTGTGACAGCTTTGGTGGCTTCTTCTGGCGAGGAAAAGCATACAAATCCAAATCCTTTGCTGCGCCCACCTTCCATCATGACCTGTTAACACAAAATTTAGTTTTAAAAGAAAACCATGTAACATCTACTCAACTTGCAAGATTTTCTTTTTTCAGCTTACTAGAAGTGAGACCACAGGTTTGTTTTACTGAACTGATTTACAATAAGGAATTTAACCGATTACTAAGTTTAGTGAGTACAGAGGAAAATCTCAGTGAACTCATGAGCACATTATTGCAGCGAAAAAATGTCATGTTTCTCACAGCAGTATCAGTACTCAGTTTATTTCAGTAAAGTAGGATCACATCTGAGACTAACCCAATATGTACAATAATCAAAAAAGTATATATCACTGCAACTATATACATGGAGAAGTCACTGGGTCACATCTGTTGGTCAATGAAATAAAACACTCTTCCTGGGTAAAGGATCACTGTCCATTTTAAGAGAAAGGACAAGCAAAACTCTGTAAATTTCACTTTACCTTTGCACTTGTGATTGTACCAAATGGGGAGAACTCTTTTCGAAGGCGCTCATCATCAATGCCATCATCAAGATTTTTCACGTAAAGGTTTACACCCTAAAAAAAAGGCCAGGTTATTTTTGAAAACAAATTGTGTTTTTAAATCTAAAAATATCAATAAATTAGTCCTCTTGAATGGAAACTGAACCTGGTATCTGGTGATCCTGTCCTGCTTCATTTGTTCAAACTTGCGCTTCAGCTCCGTCTGTCTTTCCACCTTTTTCTGCGCCCGGCCAACATAGATTTGTTTCCCATTAAGCTCTTTCCCATTCATCTCATCTACAGCCTTTACAAATAAAGAATCTGTTAATAGTGCTTTGTATTCCACAGTTTTTTCAGGCATATGAAAAAAATGTAATTAAAATATAAAAAGTTACATAAGGATTCCAGAAAAAAAATCCAATCTAGTTGAAACAAAATATCTCAAGACTTCCTTGCTTAAAGTGAAAGGGAAAGGGAAATTGCTTTCTGAGTGTTTCTGTCCAGTTAAAGAGAATTCACCATATGATGCAAACAACTTTTCTTATAAGAAGTTGGGGGGGGAGAATAAATCAAGTCCCATAGTGAACTACTTCTCCAGCCTTATCTTGACAAAGACAGGGAAAAGAAAGCAAATTAATTTGAAAATCTCTAATTCACACTTCTGACTTCTGTTTTTCAAAGTAACATCTAAAATTGTATCATGCACTAGACTTCATTATACTGTGTTTCTAAAGCTACAGCTGGCATAGATGTGGTTTAAAAAACCCTTTCATTAAAGAAATACTTAAGAGTATGAAAATATCAACTTCTTTCCGTTATGCTGTTTTGAGTTACAACTGTTAAGATCGGAAAACTCTAGCGCAAATTTATTCACTTAAGTTTAAAACCAGAAGTCACTAGTTTATTGTATACCTTCATGATCAAAGCCATTAAAAACATTTACTGAGATACTAGAATTTTATATTAAAACCCTCAACATGGGATTCCAACTACTGTCAGAGAAACAACTCAATGAACGTACACAAGACTGCACAATGTCGATGTAAAACCGATAGGATTTGTTCTAAACTCTTGCAGCACTGACAAATCACTGAAATGCATTCTGAAAAGCAAACTTCATTTGTTGCCCTGATTTGTTCTGTGCAGTTTTTCTTCCGAGCTATGTCCCTACCGCTACAGTCAGCTGACACAGCGAAGCGAACAACTGACAAAAAATTAAGTTCCACAGCATACTGGCACATTACAGACACGCACATGAATTAAAAGGACCCTTCTCCCCAGGTTACTCTTCAGCAGAAAAGCAGTATCATGGGCTCTGTAACTATTTTCTTACAGCTGTGCCAAACATGCTCCACAGAACAAATAGCTTTTCTGCTGACTTTGCAGTACTTAAGTTTGAAAACACAATCCCTTCTGCCTTGCGCAAACATTTTGTGCAACCAAATTGGATTCAATGAATCTTCCAGGTTTTGCAGAGATGTAATAATTTCCTATGCCTGTATGCTGCCCAGTATGAGGGTGTCAAAATCTCAGAGACCTTTAAGCCAAACTACATGAAGTTAGTAAATTATTCAAGATTCCTCATTTCTATACTAGTTCCAGCTGTCTCAGAGCATCTTGACTTAATAGGCTAGGCTCCTCAAATCAACAGACATTTGCTCATAAGAAAGCATTCTAAATGACAGAAACTATACTAAGTCATTCAGGAAGTAGACACCAAGTTTTGCAGTGTCCTTGACCAATTAAAACCCATGAAGAATTCTCAACATTTCAAATCATTCATGAAACATATTTGGGTCTCAGTCACAGAATTCCTAAAATGAAGTTCAAAAGCTTACTTTTTGGGCATCTTCATGTCTTTCAAAACTAACGAAGCCAAAGCCTTTCGATTTTCCACTCTCGTCAGTCATAACTTTCACACTTAGGGCAGGACCTAGGAAGAATTAAATATGCTTCATATAGAAAGTGTATTCTCGTCACATTTTAAACATCCTGTTTAAGTCTTAAGGACTCCTGCACCAACAGTAGTATCTAGTAAACATCACTCATTAATTTAAAATTGCTAGTCTTCTCTGATGCTGAACTTCAGTCATTGTGGCTGAAGTCTGTCACGCTGAATTTCCTTCCTACCGTATTTCAAGTAAAATGGGGTCAAAATTTCACCTCAAATTAAACTGTTTTATCATTAAAAATTACAACATTTAAGAAGCATTAGTGCTTCCATCCTTTGACACATACTGAAAGCTGGGGGCCTTTCTATTAGGCATGTGCTTCACCATTTTTCTCAGTGAACAACAGAGTTCAGCAATTCAAAACCTTTGAAAAACTGCAGTTCACAGACTCAGCTGAGACAGATATTAGCAGCTAAATTCGCTACTGTTTCAACAACAGATACTTCAATATCGCACATACATATACACGGCTGTGTCTTGATTTACAGGACATCCACTGGAGAACAGTTTCTATCTTGCCAGTGGGAAAGTTTCTCAATTTCTTACTAGGTCAACTACCACAATGCAAACAAATAATGAATGCAGGGAAACTCTGAGTAAAGATAAATCTGCAGGTCAATGAAAGCAAAAGAAAGCTCATTTGTCCTGTATCCTGTAGTGAATCCGTAACATCTACCTCTACTAGAACACTTCTATTTGCAACTTGCCAGATTTTCAAAAGCCATTTAGACACATTGTTTTCAGATTGTCAGCAACAATTCTGATGGTAGGATTATATATGCTTTCTGCCTACTTAAAATTCTCCAGTGGTTATTACTGCACTTTAATGTGAAACAAGAATTAAGTGCCAACTTTTCAATCTTTTTTAATTTTTAATCAACATCAGAGAGCAAGCTGACTCTTTGTATTGGAAGACACTGTACAGGTAAGAAGTAAGCTGAAGTTCACCCATGTTTATATAAACTTAAAGTTCAAGACATTACCAAACTTGCCAAAGAGTTCCTTAAGTCTCTCATCATCCATGTCTTCTCCAAAGTTCTTGATGTAAACATTGGTGAATTCCTTTGCTCTGGCTCCAAGCTCTGCCTCACGTTCCTTGCGGGACTTAAACCTTCCCACAAATCTATTTGCAGGAGAACAGAATAGAGTAGATTAAAGCAAGTCTGTCAAGGTTTAAAGATTTACTTTAATCCTCTTGCATCATATTTTACTCTTAATCAGTCTTGTTCATGACATGCATTAAATTCTTTAGAAAAAAATATTTATAAAAAAACTCTAAAAAACCCAATTTTACTACCCTCTGCCACATCAGCGTGCTTATCACAGTTACTGCTTTAAAAATGCTTTCGAGCCACTGGTCAGATTGTTCAACTCTTATAAAAGAATCTCTTGACAACAGGGACTGGACACAATTGGATAGAGAAGCAGGTAGAGTGGCTAAATAGAAGCTCTAGACATCAGCATAATCCCTGTGCCATACTAAAACCAAGTCAGCCTCAAAGCAGTCACCATTCTTAGACCCAGTTTTTAAGCAAGGAGTATTTAACTAACCTCCTCCCCACTCCCTTACACACCTTTCCAGCCCACTGCAAGACTTTTATTTGTTTGGGGTTTTTTCCCCCTCTTTTTAGCACAGAGAAATAAGTAGTTCAACTTGCTGTTTAGTCCAATATCATTGCAAAGTGACTGGGAACACTAAAGGTCAGTCTCCATGAGAGAAAGAACAGAAACTCAGTATACAACACTGCAACCCAAGGAACTGCTCTAGTACAGAAGTTCTGTGACTAACACAAATTTCTGACTGTAGACTTTTGCTCTTAAATTTTATTGTATTGTGCAACTTTATAGTTCCAAATCTGACAAATACAATAAAGTAGCATACAGTTAACATTTTCTTAAACTTTGACAGCTTCACCTGATTTATAGTAACCAAAGACAGAAAGAATGACAGTGCTTTTATGACTACACACCGACCTTTTTTTTACCAATTTAAAAAGGCTGTATGTATAAAGATGGAAGCTGAGTAAAAACATCCAGTGTGCCAGTCAAGCACAGATCAAGCAGAAAAACTAAAGTCTCCAAATATATGTTCACCCTGTACATGCCTTGATCCATCCATCAATCTCTACATATTTAAACAATCCAGGATGGTAAACTGATGCTGATTTTTGTTGTCCTTTCTCAAACTTTCTCAAGAATTTACAGACCTTTTTACATCTATAATACCCCAACCCCAAGCCTAGATACCACTGACCAAGTAGCCAAGTAACTTTTTTCCTACGGCATAGAATACTGATAACATTTAAAACATTATATTTCTGTAAATTTTATCTTCTGCTCCCATTTCCTAGATATGCTTATTAACAGACATTCAACACTGGTGTAATCCGATGGCAATTCAGGACTGAGGAACTCCAGAGCTTTAAGTTTTGTCCAAAAACTGGATAGCGTACTTACCTCACAACTCTACTATAAAGGAAGTATTATGCAGAATACCCCATGGACTGTATTTCATCTCAGACCAGTAAGATTAGAAAACCAGAGAAGCTCCCAAATCCTCATTACAGCACTGGATTGTAAGACAACTAATACAAGTTTCTCCCTAGAGCTCATTATTAGCCTTTTCTGAACTTCCTCTGCCTTCAGAATAGGGAGGATACAATTCATAGCATTCCTAGCTCTGAAAATCTGAATCTTCTTTAAAATAAGAAATTTTTACAACAGCCTGTCTTTTCTAGGTAAGCTTCAAACATCAGTCCCCTGTAAAATTAATTTCAGTCTGTTGATCCCCAACTGTGTATTTATGTACTTACACTTTGCGGTCATTAAGCAGCATCCCATTCATTTTTTCAATGGCTCTTTCTGCAGCTTCTTGTGTCTCAAAATGTACAAATCCATAACCCTTGGATCCATTTTCATCACATACCACCTATTACAAGAAAGACCCTGTTGTAATACCTACGGCATGTTTTCAGCATAAATTGAGTGGTTTTGTGTCGAACTACTGAACGGGCCAATAATTTTCCACCAACCTTACAAGACAGGATGTTTCCAAAAGCAGAAAAAGTGTCGTACAAAGCTTTGTTATCAATTGATTTGTCCAAGTTTTTGATGAAAATGTTTCCCACGCCGCTTTTGCGTAGAGATGGATCGCGCTGAGACCACATGATGCGCACTGGTTTGCCTTTAATGACATCAAAGTTCATGGTATCCAAAGCTCGTTCAGCTGGAAAAACATCATGGAATTAGTAGGAAGCACTGAAGTCATCTTAATAAGCACACACAAATAGCACTTAAAACAGTAAAAGTTTTACAAAGAATTGTACTTGAAGTCCAGCACCACCAACAAGGTGCAAACCCAAACCTCCAATATAAATAAGCCCCACTCTTTTATGCAGGTAAAAACTGCCAAAAACTCCTCATCATAAGCTGCACTTAAGGGACAGGAAAGAGCACAAGTCAGCTGAGCAAGCTGTAGAAATCGTGGCAGCCTGAAGGACTGGAGCCCACTGGTACAGTGACAGGAGAAAACGTATTGAGTGATGGCACTGACAACCTGCTCTGCAGGAGGAAAAGTTTTAACATTTGTGAAAATCAACTGGCCACTCCCACACCACACAGATGTATACTGTATCAGTAGAAATGCTTTTAGGGGTATGACTTATGCCTATACGAGGCCTTTTGCAAATATTAGTGTAAGAACTAAATCACCAATACGCCTAAACTGACAATTTATTTTCTAGCTGGGGTTCAAGCCTGGTTCAGGCAGCTGTTCCATGCAACTCCTTCCTCAGTGACAAAACAGATCTGTGATGGACTTCAAGGCACGGGACAGCTGAAAGAGACTTGATACTAGCACTTAATTGTGAAAATCTGAAATTATAAGATATTAAAAGCTTATGATGAAATACCTACGAGCTCAGTGATGGAGTAAGCATTGTTACAGCAAAATAAAGTAACATAAGCCAGGTTTTGCTGCTCCAGTGGAGCAGTTTTTCCAGTAGAACTCCATAACTAAATTTTCAAAGCCTAAATTTAAGGTCTCAGTGTATTTAGATAGGGAAGTATTAAGACTTCTTCAGTTTTCACATGTCCCTTCAAAGCAACAAGACATGTCTGTGATGTTTGAAGCCAACAAGGTATTTAAGCAATAAAGAGCAACAGTTCCCAAGTAGAGCAGACATATGTTCTCCTACATTATCTCCTCTGCATAGCCATTCCTGTACACCTGGAAGAACACTGAGAGAAGTCCCAATTGACAGCTTAACTCCCACCCATTGGTACTAACCCACTTCACTGCAATCTGCGTATAGCTGAGCAATGTGATGTGAAATCAATTTAGTATTAGTTTAGTGCTGAACAGCAACCATTTTAGTTAATTGACTTTCTTAGGAAAAGGACCAAGGGCCAATAACATTGTGAAAATCTCTATTCTAAGTTTTTGTTCTTTAAGTACTGGTTTTATCTTTAGCTATGCTAAGGGTATCATTGCCAAAGAAAATTTGCAGTCAGCCTCTGGTTCAGGTGGTACACCACACTGTATGTCTCTTCTTGCCATGTCTTCAGATTACAAGTGAATTTGAAGATTCTTTTATCTGAAAGACATCTGTAGAAGTTAATGAGACAGGAATCAAACATCTTGTAAAAAAAAAAAACCCAAACATCTAGCAATACTACTACCGTATTCATATGACAGTAGCAAGTCAACAACTGACTTAAAATGAAGCCACAAAAAATGTAAGCATTGCCAGTCTTTTGAGTAAGTTAAAGCTTTCACAAACTTTAATATAAATTAAGCAGGAGAGAAAAGAATCTAGATTCTGATAAACAACAAGTATCAGAACGCTTTACATTATAAAACAAAAAAATAATAAGACCACCAAAAAAAAAGAAAAAAAAAAAACCACACAAACCTGAGGATATCAAAACTGGCCACAGTAGAAACACCTAATGCTTTGGTATTGCCCTGGAAGTCATTAGAATTATTACTGCCAGCACCAGCGAAACTGCCAGCAACAAACAGTTCATTATTTCCAGAAGTAGAAACAGAGCTTCCTTTACTAGAAAAGAGGCTTTTCTAGCTCACACTAATTGCTTCTAGAACAATCCAGACAGTCCTCAAAAAATATGTGTTCCTGGACACATCTCTCACACATCTGACTCAAAGCAGGTCTGTACCCATGTGCGCAAACGCTGTCACTCTCAGCTGATAGGGAGCACGTATCCCAGACCAATGCGTTTTCTTCACAAAGACAAGGACAGCATGGAAACTCTCAACAGCTTTACCGAGCAGAAGCACATGAAATGTCAAGATTTCTGTTTAACCGTGACCATACTGTCATTCCGTGACAGATTTAAAACATTACCAGGATACATCTGCAGCCAGGTACAGGTGACTCTCAAAGTTCACAACTAGTAAAAGTGGCTTACTTTCATTACATTTCAGCCATAAAAGGCTGCACACTCGTTTGCAGGAGGCAATTGCATTCAGCAGTTAACAAGTGGACACACCTACCCGTGTTGTACTTCTGCTGATTCTGCTGGAGCTTTTATTGAATGAGTCACCAGTTCCCATTTCAGTCGTGAGCAACTGGACAGTCCACTTTAGAACAATTTCAAAATCACACAGAATATAGGCTTACTGCTAAATGCATGCAGCAATAGCTATAAAATAATAAACCTCTGGAAACAGCTTTTCAAAAAAATCTGAAGAGAGAAGCACAGCTTCAGATTACTCAAGAATATTTCTAGTTTAGTGATTAAACAAGATTGCCTAGGTTTTATTCCAGACTATGACTCAAATTCAGAAAAGTCACAACTATGAATTGTGTGCATACCTCACACATGTGTCATCAGGCCTAATTGGTTTCTGGAAGAGCTTTGAGATCTCTAGTTTACAGACAGCTGGTAATGTCACACACACCTTCAAAGACATTTTTCAAAACCCAAGCTAGTTGTTTCTAGCTGTTTAATAAGCGCAGCAGCCTGAGACTGAGCTAAGAATTAGGCTGAACCAAGAAAAGGCAGCTAGTTTGGAACCAAAATGAAACCAGTATTACTGTTAAGAATAACCATTCATCCTTGGAGCTTCTATTTCAAGGGTTCAGTGGATGGATAGAATGATCTATGAAAAAAAAATCAAATACTTTCTAGGTATTCCAGGAACACCAAATTCTAAAAATGCTGCAGAATTGCAATTGCATGTTATTTAAGTGTATTTTAAACAAGTGCTGCCAGGCAGGTGCCCAATGCAAGTTGATACAGATGAGAAACACTTTTAGCTGAACTGGGCTAGATGTAAAACAAAACATGGGTGCTTCCCAAAGTCTGAGAAGTCCTTAATGTTTGGAGTAACAGCACTTTTATAAGAGGCACATTCTCAAACTCTGAATGCAAGCACTGCTCCAGTGACAAAGCTGTTTGTTCCCACATCTGACAGGTGACAAGCTACGTCACCGAATGTAGGGTTGAGGGGGTTACTTCACTAATGACAATGACAAAGTTGACCCTTAAAGAGTTCTGTCATTACTAGGGAGAAGAAGCACTTCGACATCTGCATTGACATTACTATATCACAGTACTGAACTATGCTAACTTTTTTTGAGATTAAACAGTACCATAGTTTTTTACTAAATGAAAGCAAAGTATGTTGAAACAAGCATTCAGATCGTTTCATCCTAAACAACGGCAGAATTAAAAGCTCTCTGAAGTGAGAGAACATAAAAAGTGAACTATCTGCCTATTAAAAAGGTGAGACAATAACTTTTACTACGTAACAGGAATCATCAGTACACCAAAGCCTGATCTGATAATGGCTATATGCTAAAGCAAATTTTGAAAGCTAGTTAATCTAATAGCTTGAAAAGTCTCACCTTCATGCACTTGAAAATAAAACCATTACAACAGAAAAAGCTGTTTGCGTGAAATATGTTCGAGCCGGTCGAATTATTTTTTCTTTTAATTGGACTCTACAAAACTAGGAATCGGTCACATTTGGTTCTTTTATCAAAACATCCTTCAAATGAAGAAGTCGGTTTGCCCAATTTGGCACAAACACAGCCAGAACTACGTGGAAAGTTTCTTCACTGACAGAACTTTAGAGAACCAGCAAGATGTTGTATGAAGCAAGTTTAACAGGAGGACGACTTAGGAAATACAGCATCAGAGAGCTCACAACAAAGAGAAATGGATCGGAATACAGCTTGCTACATGAAGAGCAAGCAAAGGAGATCCAAGTAAAGTAACTTCACTCGTCCCTGCACGTGACAGACCTGCCGCGGCTGGCGTTTTAACGTATGCCCTGGTCTGTGCTTTAACCGGACGCCTATGAAGCTGCCAAGCCACCCTGGTATGTCCTACTTCCTTCTTTTGGCCTCTTAATCAAGCACACACGCCCAGCTCCTGCATACTTATTAAAAGGTGCTAATGACTCTGGGGTTTCCTCCGAGCTCGCCCGCATCTCAGCCGCCCTATGCGGCC